AATATTTATACACACAATATAAAAATAAATAAATATGTCTGTGAACCTAAAAATTTACAGCTACCTTTGAAAGAGGTGTATCCTTACTCTGGAATGTTAAAGCTGTAATGAAATGCTTCTAAAAAAACTTGAAAATAAAATTTGAAAATTAAAAGAAAATACACACATAAAATAGAAATAAACAAATGTTTGATTTAACTTAAAAAATTTAAGCTAGAATTTATTTTATTTTTATTTTATGTGCATGAGTGTTTTGCTTGCATTTATGTAAGTACGCCAGTTGTAGGTAATGCCTGTGGAAGCCAGAAGAAGGTCTTGGATCCCCTGGACCTGAAGTTACTGGGTGTTTACTGAATGTTTATTTTTAGCTGTGAGGTCACTGTTCGTGTGGTTTTGATAAGTCACTTGGGTTTTCTGCCTCCCATCTTTCTCCTCCACAAGATGAGGGGGTTGGACAAGATGAATTCTAAACTTCATTCTGCAGAGTGTGCTAGGGTTACAGTTCACTCCTTCCAGTGGCCCTCCTTTCCCTTGCCAATGTTTATTTCTAGATGATACTGCTGAGTATGCTGAGAGGTTTGTGGAGGAAACTGAGTGATACCGGGTGGATCATCAAGACTTTTCTTCAGTTAGCAATGTGCATGTCTGAAAGCATTTTCCAGAGACTTGGATTTGGCTGGACAACCACATGGGGTAAAGGTTTATAAAGTTCTTTATCCATTTATATTTTGCTTACTCTATGTTTTGAATAAGTTTTCCCTAGTTTCTTACATGTTTTAAGTACAAATGTAGTGTTTTGATGAACTAAGTTCATCAAGGGCTTTTTGGTGTAGAATAATGTTGATTGATGTTAACTACAGTATTTAGTACCATCAAGGAGATGATGAACATTTTAAAAGTGAAGGTTGAGGGGCTGGAGAGATAGCTCAGTGGTTAAGAACACGGGCTGTTCTTGCAGAAGACCCAGGTTTGAATCCCAGCACCCACATGGCAGCTAACAACTATCTGTAACTCCAGTTCTGGGGAATCCCATAGCTTCTTCTGTCCTCTGCAGGCATGGCATGACACGGGTGCACTTACCTACATGCAGACAATACATGCATACACATAAAATAAAAATAAATAAAATATTTTTTTTAAACAAGTGAAGGTTGATTTTAACTTCCTTGAAGTCTTCTGGCTCATGTTGGAGAAAAATACCTAAGAGCAGTGACAGGGATACAGAAAAAATTTTTTTTCTTTGTAAAAACGAGAGAAGAAAATCAAAGTAATGCTTGAAAATATGTATTATCTCTAAAAATTTTATGAAATACAGTAGTCAATTGTGAAGATATAAACCTTTTAGACTTCATTGGAGTGTGTAGGATTATGACATTATAAACTTTTTTTTTTTTATCTTTTTGAGACAGGGTTTCCTTGTAACCCCAGCTGTCCTAGAACTCGCTATGTAGAGCAGGCTGGCCTTGAACTCACAAAGATCTGCCTGCTCTGCCTTCCAAGTGCTGGGATTAAAATCATGTGCCATCATGTCCATCTATAAACTATTTTTTAAAAAATATTACTTTTATTTTATTTATTTTTTATTTTTGGTCCTTTTGAGACAGGGTCTCCCTGTAGCCCCAGCTGACCTGGAACTCACTATGTAGACCAGGCTGGCCTTGAACTCACAGAGATCTGCCTGTCTCTGCCTCCCAAGTGCTAAGACTACAGGTGAATGCCACCATGCCTGGCTATTTTTATGTGAGTATATTGGCTATATGTAAGTGCACTTGTATCATGCAATGCCCACAGAGATCAGAAGAGGACATCAGATCCCCTGGAATTAGAGTTACACATGGTTGTTAGTCATCATTGTGGTTCCTGGGAATTGAGTGCTCCTAACTACTCAGTCATCTCTCTAGTCCCTTAAAACTATTTTGTGAGAAATTGAGATGTACTTTTTTTTAATGTTGAGTGCTTTTAAAATTAGATATGTAGGCTGGGCGTGGTGCTGCATGCCTTTAGTCATGCAGAGGCAGGTGGGCCTCTGAGTTCAAGGCCAGCCTGGTTTACCTAGTGAGTTCTAGGCTAGCTGGGGCTACAGGGAGACCCTGTCTCAAAAAGACCAAAAAAAAAACCCCAAAAGATATGCAAATGATACAGAAAATTAAAATTCTTCTGAAAAGTGTTTAGGTTATATTGTCTTATTTTGAAGTATGTGCATTTTTGTTTTTATAATTTCTATATTTATCTTGACTTTAGAGCTAAGATTTACCAAGACTTTGAGGTTACTGTACCTGATTCTATCACTTCTTGGGTAGCTTCTGCTTTTGTGATCTCAGAAGACTTAGGCCTTAGACTAACAACTGCTCCAACAGAGGTAAACTGTCAAAGGCCTTCTCACTAACATCTAGTACTAGGAAGCCAAACAAAGGTGTGCTTATCAATTGCTGTGTTTATCAGACTTCATGGATTCGTCGGCTTTATCTTTTTGCTTTTCATCTGTATTAAAGTAAAACCATTATTTATTATGATGATGATGATCATCATCATCATCATCATCATTGTGTGTGTGTGCCACAGCGTGCATATGGAGGTCAGAGGACAACCTTGTGGAGTCAGTTCTCTTCACCGACCATTATGTGGGCTCCGGGGTTTAAACTCAGGTTGCCAGACTTTATAGCAAGTGGCTTTACCCACCGAGCCATTTTGCTGGCTCTGTGTTAAATTTTTTGAATCTGAGTTATATTAAATTGATAGATTTGGCTATGAAGTTTATTATTGACCTGATGTAACAATTTCCAATGGCCAGATTACTTTAAAGATGAGCATAAACTTCTCAAGTTGTCTCCTAGCAGGCATTCTTCCATGACTGCAGTAAAAATTTATCACATCTTGTTTTCAGTTACTAAGGGGAATACAAGGACCATGAACGGTCTTCGACCAGTACCTGTCACTTTTGTTATACCTGAAACCTTCTGTTAACAGTAGATATTTGTGTTGCTTCTTACCATCATCCCTAAGTGAAAGTCATAGACAACAAAATATGCATATATACAGAATTTCTCCAAAGACTATGCAAGTAAAAATAAGGTAAAATGAAGGAAAGTACTGTAAATGACGCAATACGAATTTTAATATGTAAGCGACAGGCCCTGCTAGAAGTGAGAGTGACACATGTCAATGTTTATACCAGGCTTAGAATCTCCTTGTGTTAACAGTTAGAAATGCAGGTTTCTATGCAACTTTGAATGCCTGTGGTGGTATGAATTTCTGAAAAGACAAACAATTTTTAGCAATATTTTACACAAAACGAGCTTTGGTTCATAAAATATTACATTCTTGAAAAATTCAGTGTGTATTGAAAAGTGCTTTGGGTTTTTAATGGTAGAAGCTTGGGTCATTTTAAACAGGTAGTTTATTTATATAAATGTCTAAACAAATATCCAATAGATATAGATACCCATATGGCACCTCAAATTATATGATCTGTGGAGGTCCAATACAGCCAGCAACCAAAATATTTTTTATGTCCTGAATATAAACCACATGCTAATAAGGAAAAATACCAAGAATTACGAGGAATATGAGAAAATTTTTCATTGTTTAGGTCAATCCTGAGTACTGACAATCCACCAAGTGCCAATAGTATCCTTCAATCACTGTGGCAATCTAAGATATTCAATCTACAAATGCCCTTGTAAACTTTGTAGGCATGACTTTTTGTAGGTTTGACATTGTGATGCAGCACTGTTACCTACAAAGTTCCAGGTTGAGAAATGTGCAGTTGAGTTTCAAAGAATAAATATCTCCAGTGGGGAGTGGTGGTGCTCACCTTTAATCCCAGAACTCAGGAAGCAGAGGCTGGCAGATGGCTGTGGCTTCCAGATAGTAACCCAAAAAAAAAAAAAAAAAAAAAAAAAAAAAAACCCACCCCACAAAAACCCCTAAAAAAAACCCCAACAACCAAAAATCAATGTTTGAAGTAAGTTTGTGATTTTGTATTGGCCCAGGCCACATTCATAGTTGCCTTTGGCTGCATGTGGTCTCCTGGGTCATGGGTTGGGTTGGACATTAGAGGTCCTCACTGCTACCAGCCTGGCCATATAGTTAGTGTCAGGCAGGGGAGGGCTGGCCTTTCCTTTATGTCTTAGCTAACACTTTCAGAATTGGGTCGCCCAGGGATTGCGTGTATGTGTATGTGCATGTAAGGATAGTAAACCACATGAGAGTTCCCCCGCTTTACTCTAAAGCAGGGACGGTTCAATTACACAGTGACTTTTTTTTTTTTTTTTTTTGGTCTTTTTGAGACAGGGTCTCCCTGTAGCTCCAGCTGTCCTGGATTCACTATGGAGACCAGGCTGCCCTGGAACTCACAGAGATCTGCCTGCCTCTGCCTCCCAAGTGCTGGGATTAAAGGCATGCGCCACCACGCCCTGCAGTGGGACAGTGACTTTTAAAGCAGATTGTGAAGTTGTTACAGTGTAACAGAGGGGCAACCTCTTTTGGTATCAGACAGTATGCTATGAAGCTCCGGCTTTCTTACATGTAGGTAATATGAACTTGTACTAGTTACAGAGATTTCTGAACACCAGTTTTTGAAAACATAGGATAAGAGTATAAAATTAGGGACACAGTGATAACACAAATAACATATGAAATGGCTTGTACCTATTAGGTACTTAATATAGTACAGTAATTATTATGCTCAAAACAAGTAATTTGGTGTGAGTTGCTTGCTTTCTGTTGATGGGCAAGTGAACATGTCTAAGTGTTACAGCCTTCACAGGCTGTGTGGGAATTGCTCTAAGTTGTATACCATGTGACACACTTTTTTTTCCTGAATAAAAACATGTACTCACTGTGTTCTTTCTAGCTATGGGCCTCCCAACCATTTTTCATGTTTTTGAATCTTCCCTACTCTGTTATCAGAGGTGAAGAATTTGCTGTGGAAGTAACCATATTCAATTATTTGAAAGATGCTGCTGAGGTAATGTATTCAAGGTCTTGTCAGTTATCTGTACCAGAATTGTTTGGGCTGTGCAGTGCTCGGGCATCAGGTCGTCCAAGCTCTTTATCTTTTTTGACCACCTTAACCATTGTTTTGGCTTTATATGTTTATTGTTTTTTTGTTTTCATTTTTTTCACATTAAAAGTGTTTATTTTTAAATGTCAAGAGGAAACGGAGTAGTAACAGAGTCAACTGTTGGCACCTTTCCAGTCCATCACCCCCATGTCCTTCCCAACACAAAGCACTGGCAAGATGGGCTGCAGGACAGTCACAAAGTGACTCACAGAGATGGGCAGGTGGGATTCAAGAGTCCATCCCAGAACCCCTGTCCCAGAATAGGGTCAGAGCTCAGGGGCATAGGGCTTCCCAGTGGGTGAAGGGAACTCAGCATCGTGCCTCACCACAGTGAAGAGTCCCACCACTGCCAGCAAAGCCATCAGCATGACAGCAGAGCAGCTGCTGAACATGTTCCGAGTGCCTGTTTTCCGATCACTGTCTTGGAGGACAAGACGCCCTAAGTGGGCTAGTAAGTGCAGGGACACCCGGAACCAGTTGTGTACCCAGCCTGCTCTGTCTCAGGGATCACCTTTCTCCGCAGGAAGCTCATGCTGGGAAAGTAGAGACCACAGGCCAGCTCGATAAGTAGAAAGGTGATGAAGGATTCCACAGGACCCTCCTGGCCTGGGCTGGTGGAGAAAGTCAACATGAAGAGAGAGAAGACAACGATGAGAACAGCAAGGGACAGCAGGTGCATGGGTTGATGGTGGTACCTCTTGGAGGTAGCAGTGCGGTACAAGGAAGAACCCAGAAGGCTGGCAGCCATGAAGCTAGAGAAGAAAATGCCCAGTGGGGCCCCATGTGGGTCCAGCACAGGTGTCCATAGGAAGACAAAGATGAAGATGACACTCTCAAACAGGGCCTGTATGGTGCCCAGCAGCAGCACTCGGTGGTCAGACAGGACACAGTGCAGGCCTCCAGCACAGGTCCTGGAGAAGGCCCGCTGCCTGTCATAGTTCTCTTCCCAGTTTCAAAGGGCCAAGGCCCCAGTCAGAGCCAGGAGAGGGGTGGCGGCCACAAAGGGTGCTACGGGTCCCAGTCCCATCCAGCTAGCCATGGCCACAGCCAGCACATGGTTCCAGAAGGCAGCCTGGGCAAAGGTGGCTGGGATCCACTCGGCAGGGAAGTCGTGCTCCACAAGCTCATGGATGTACCCGGCCTCAAAGGCTGAGAAGAGGAGGGCGGTGGACAGCCCACCAAGGGCTCGGCCCACGAGCAGCACAAAGAAGTCTTGAGAGAGTTTGGTCAAGCAGCACAGAGAGTGAGTGAGGGAGAAGACGACACCAGACTTCTTATGACCCAGCCAGTCCACAAGGGAAGAGGCCACTAGGCCAAAGTGGATGGTGGAGGCGAGGTCACAAATGTAGAGGATGGCGATTTGACCCTCCAAGAAGTGATAATGTTGATAGAGTTTATGCAGGTAGAGGGCTTGGAGTCAGTCAGCTGCCAGGGCCAGGAAGTAGACCTGATAGAAGTCTAGTTGAAACTGAAGGAAGGACGCATTGCTGCAAGCCCTTCCAGGGGGCTTAGCCCGGCATCTTGACAGCTCCAGGCCCAGGCAGGAGGCCAGGAGGCCCACAAAAGACAGGTAGGCGGTCACCAGCATGGTGGGCCCCCGGATGACCTGCAGTCCCGGTCTGCAGGGGATTATCCGGACATGTCCAGCTCCAGGCCGCCGGGCTGCCCTCCCCACACTGGCTCCCACTCTGTCCGGCCGCTGAAGCCCGGCCTCCCACCGCTACCCTGGATCCGAACTGTGGGTGCCAGGAACCAGGCGAGCAGAGCAGCCGGAGGTCGCAGCTGCTGGTGCCACTCGCTCCTCCCACTCGTGGTTACTTGAGGGACCACCCCAAATAAAAGCCGATTTTGTCTGCTTTCCTCCCTGCTGAGCCTGGGAAAGATGCCTGCAGAGCCTCTGGCTGCCTCATGAACGCCACTGTCCTAAGCTTGGCTGGTCCTGCTCGAGGGTTTGCTTCATCTGCGGAAGTGACCTCTAGGCCAGCAGTCAGTGTTATCTAGACATCTGAGGGTGATGGTGTGGTATAAACAACGTGGACTCTGGGGTTCCAGGGAAATTACAGCCCTTCATGGCCAGGAGGCATGGTGGCTGGAGGTGGCTGGACCAGTAGTAGCAGAAGCTGAGCTCTCACATCATCAGGCAGGCACAGGAAGTGAGAGATGTTTATTGGTTTTTATCCTTTCAACTTGTTAATTTCAAATTCTTAAACTTTAAAATTTTTTCTTTGACAATTTCATACATGTATATAATACATTCTGGGGGTACCTACCCCTCATTACTGCCCTCCCACTCTCATCACCCCCCCCCAACAAGTCCCCCTCCCACTTTCATGTCTTTTTGTTTTGGTTTTACTTTTGTGACCTGCTGCCTTTAACCAGGGTCATACATGTGGGTATGGGTATGGAGATAGCTACTGACCAAGGAGCAGTTTACATCACTAAAGACACTGCTCTCCCTCCCCCAGTGGCCATCAACTGTCAAGAGCTCCTTGGGCAAAGGCTGAGACCATGAGCCCCTCCTCCTTCTGTAACTGAATATTGTGGGCCTAGTCTTGTCCAGGCCCTTATGTAGGCAACTACAGCTGCTGTGAGTTTATGAGTACAGTGACTGTGCCTGGCCCAGAAGACAGTATCTCACAGCTGTCCTCTCCATCACCCAGCTCAACATTTTTTTCACCCCCTCTTCCTTGATGTTCCCTGAGCTTTGGAAGGGGTGATATGGATAACTCTTTGGGTTTGAGTGTTTGTCAGTACCTTGACCAGTTGGTACTACATTAACCACTGTTTGCTGCTGTGACTAGGGTTGAGGGCAGCACTAGTCTATAAACAAATATTTAGGAGGAGGTTTGACAACAGTAAAACAAAAGCAGTAGGTTCACCATTAGAATCTATGACTTGCCCAGCCCTGGGCCTTTGAGCAGGTCCACAGTAATAGCCATGAATTCCCTCCTTCAGAGAGAGCCTCAGAAGCAATCAGAAAGCAGTTGACTATCACTGTAACAGTCATGGCACTGCTGCTCCAATGGGCATGTCTTGCTTGGCAGATTGGTACTGTAGCATGCAAGATTCACCTCTGGGTAAGACGTTGACAGATTTTCTTCCGCAGTTGACCACATAGCAGCTTTTGACATTTAGGGGGCTAGCCAGCAGGGAGGACGCTTCCGGCTCAGTTCTGGAATTTCACCATGTCTTGTAACCAGTGTATCTTCAGAAATAGAGTCTTATCATCTGGTTTTTGTAGGCAACCTAGACAGTGACAATAACGTCTGTTGTTTGGGGGGTTATTGGGGCCTCCCTGACCAACAACTCATAGGGAGGTATCACACATCTGGAACTCCTCCAAGCATTTTATACATTGCCTGGGACTGAAAATAGATATACTTTGTTGGTGATTGATTCTGCCTATTTATGTCTGGGTCTATCATGAGCACATCTGCTGGGGAACTTCCCTAAGGTCCTGGGCTTGCCTTTCTCTCTTGCCTGCCTGAATGTTTCCTGGCCCTCCATGTCTAGAATGTCCTTTACTCATCGCCATTTTGTATCCACTGCCATTGGCAAGAATTTGTTCTCTTCAAGACTTGCCTTGTGACTAGGAGTCCTTTCCCACAGAACCTCACCTACTCTGTTGTGTTTGTAGTCCCCATGGTTATTCAGTGCAATATGTTTTCAAGGATTTTCTTTGTGAGTTGTGTTCCTGTGTCTCTTGGAAGGCAGAGATTAGGATCAGTATTTGTGTTGTGCCTACAGTAGTAATAGTAACCACATGGTGAATTTTTCTGCCCTAGAGTAATAAAGCATGTGTCATTAACTTTATTGTGCAAAATGCCGTCATTTAAGTACTTATATTGACATAGTAAGTTTTTAAAAATGATTTGGCTATTAAATTTTTTGGTTTTAGAAATTGAGCAATTTCTCCCACTGAGCTATATGCTCAAGCACCAACTTTTAATGTTATTTTAATTTTATTTTTTGTGTTTTTTTTCTTGAGACAAGGTTTCCCTAATAGAAAACTGGCCTGGAACTTGCTATGAGACCAAGATGACCTTGATCTCACAAGTGCTGGAATTAAAGGCTAGCACCACCGTGCCAGGCTGTCAGCTTTTTATTTTATAGCTATACTTTTAAATGTGGTTAGATTTTTAAAGTGTAACAAGCAAAGGATCCAGTCAGAAAGGACTATAATATCCAGTCTGCTACTTATTAGCAAATAGCTTGATAATTGTAGTTTCCTTATCTATGAGGTGGGAATTATAGTTATTATATAAACAAAAATTACTACTGGAGACCTACAGGCCTCTCTCCAACCCACAGGCCTCTCTCTCAGGGTAGGTTGATCCCGCCTTCTGCGCCTCGACACCCCCATCCACATTCACCCTCCCATCTCCCCTGCCCGTCTTTCCTCCTAGCCTGGATTCTGTCCCATTCCTTGTCTTGGCGCCACAGACACCTGGGCAACAACCACTGCTTCCTGATCCTTTGCATTCAGACCAACATAGTGCCTTCTCTGGGCCCCAGGAGCACTTCTTCTGGGCCTGGCCCTGTCCTCACCTCCCTCTGCTTCCCTGGGCCTGCACCACTGGCCAGCCTCTTTCCTGAACGCTGGGGCTGACCTTTCCTCTTGCTGATCCTTTGCATCCAGACCAACCCAGATCCTCAGTGAAGTCCCCAGGAGCCCTTGGGGCTGCTTCCCACCCCATCTTCCTTTGCATCTCTGGATGGTACAGCCACCAGCTGACCTAGCCCAGCATCTTTCCTTGGCCTGGCTCCCAGGCCAGTCCAACCCCCAAATTCCTGAGGCCAAAAACTTTCCTAGAGGGATCCAGACCTTAGGAGAAGGGCTGAAAGCATCTGATCCTCATCTGACTTGGGCCTCTGTGGGAATTCCTGAAGACAAAAGCAATCTG